TTTAATAAAACAATTAATGCGTGTGTGTGTGTGTGTGTGTGTATGTCCGTGTGTGTGTGTGTGTGTGTGTGTGTGTGTGTGTGTGTGTGTGTGTGGTGTGTGTGTGTGTGTGTGTGTGTGTGTGTGTGTGTGTGTGTGAGAGGTAGAAGAAGAATTGTACACCATAAACATGGCTACGTATGTAGTTGGGGTAGATATGTTGAATGCCCGGCCTGTATGACCTTTGAGTCACTACAGTTTCAGTCATTAAAATGCGTAAAACAGTATTTGAGTGAAAGAAAACACTATAAGTGAGTGAAACAAAAGACCTCAGTACAGGCACACCCAGTCCCCCAACCCCAAGTCTGCATGTACCAATACTCATACCTGCCACATCCTCAACCACTTAACTTACTCACACAATCAACTGACAACATGTTCGCCAACCCTCGTATCACAACGCATGCACGCATGCACACACACACACACACACACACACACACACACGCGCGCGCGCGCGCACGCACACACACACACACACACACACACACACACACACACACACACACACATACACGCACATCACATTACATTCTTCTTTCCCCACCATAATGTCTACGTCAGCCATCATGGATCCATGCGCATGCTCATACATAATCCATCCTCCCACCATTCCCCAACATCGATCGAACTATAACTATATCCGCCCTCATGTATCGGTGTTCGTGCTTTCATACATACATACATCCCCCTACCATTCCCCTACATCCATCGCAGTATAACTATGACTATAACCGCCTTCGTGCATCCGCACTTATGTTCACATTGCATTGCATATGCATCGAATTACACGTTTAAAATATCGTAAATATTTTACAACATGTACATATTATAGATCAGCAAACAGAGATTATTATAACGCAATAGATTTCATCCGTCAAAACATCACAGAAAGAGGGGCAGTCTGGAATTTTACAATGGCATCTGAATGCACTAAGACGTTCAACTGGTCAGGAGGTGAGAGTTGCGGAAGATTATGGTAAACTTCAGTTACAGATCTCCATTACGAATATCTAAAGTATGAATAAAGATCACAGCTTGCTATGACGTGTACTTCATTCCTGCAGAATAAGCAATGTCCTTAGCTTTAAATTGTATGTCTAAATGCTTATGTAGACAAAGACCCAAATGTATATAGGCATGACCATATTATATTCTACGCAAATATCACCACATTTAAAAACAAAGCTAGATTGAGTCTTTGAAGGGCATTAAGAACTGATACGCACAAGGAAAAATATTTATGGATGTCAACGGAGGAACACTGCGTTTCGGAATATATACTTTCTCCTTCATCAGGTGCATATTATTAAATGCTATGAGACAGAGAACATATATTTGTACCTGTAAGAACAACAAAAGTAAAAAGATAGCAAAGAAGGGAACGCAACAAGGGAAGCCAACAGATAACTGGCATGGCGCTGATTACCCCGCCTCCCGTTTGCCCATTGTCCCATTACCAATCATTCATAAGTTAAGTTTTGGCTTTAATTTGTCCATTGATAATCAACCATCAACGTCTATTATCTCCACCCTAAAAATATGTAGTTTACTGAGAAAGTGGTATCCAAATATAATGTGTGTTACTGTTGACCACTTTCTTAAAGGCATTGTTGGTTCAAAGCTTTCGGTCATAGAAGCCGTGCCCTTTTTCCCTTGTCAGAGGAGTACACAAAGTATACGTCATCTGGACTAACATTTTTGGTTCGGTGGCTGGGTTAGATCGCCAACTTTGTGTTCTGGCGATTGGGTGCCTCACTCACAGTGTGGGTTCAAATCCCGGACGGGACTCAACCCAAGAAAGTACGAGAATCTGTACTTTACTCAGAAAGTGTTATCCCAATTATAACATTTGTTGTAAAAAAAACACAATAAATGTATATTCGGCTTTGGATGGGTAATGATATTACAGACATATACGGATATTGATGATGACTTGGAGGAGTTTCGTAACGCACGTCTTCTCAATTCTGGGATTGGTAAATCCAAATATGTGCGTGCGCGTGCGTGCGTGCGTGCGTGCGTGCGTGCGTGCGTAAATGTGGGCCTGTTGGATGTTACATAAAACATTAATCTTGAGCGGGATGGTAGTTCGAGTTGGATTAGCATGTTAACTATATGATCTTCTTTAGGCAGAGAATGCCGCGCATGAATGTATTGATGAAATTCTTAGGTACATGGGGCCTTTTCGTCCCCAGGAATACCCACAGTGGAGACTTCAATGGGGATAGGGTGTACACAATGTGCTACCCGGGAGATTGTGTGTCATCAGACCGGACAACGTTGGTCTTTGACTGATTGTGGCGTAAAACACACTTATTCATTTACTTATATCGGAAATTGAATGTTCATCTTAATTGTTGAACATGTAATATATTTTTACAGAAATAAAACAGTGACATAATAACTACAACTTTATGTGAGCACGAGTAGCTTTTTTTGAATGAGATGAATAAGTCTTATAAAGTTGTAAGCTTCTTCACAACCGTGTAACTATGAATTGACTGTATTGGGTAATCAAAAAAGAGATAGGACCTAAAATAGCCAAATTTCATACGATTTCACTTGTCCGGCATCTTGGATGCAAGGCGAAAACATTTTTAAGCGCGTTTGAAGCCACTGAGAATGCCCCCTGCAGAGTTGGACGAACATTCTGCGGTGGCGCGGCTGAGTTGACCAGTGGCTATCAGCAGTATTTCCTATCCAGGTTATTTAGGTCAGTTGTTTGTGTGTGTGTGCGTGTGTGCGTGTGTGTGTGTGTGTGTGTGTGTGTGTGTGTGTGTGTGTGTGTGTGTGTGTGCGTGTGCGCGCGCATGTACGTGTGTGCGTGTTTGCGTGCGTGCGTGTGGGTGGGGCGGGGGCGGCGGGGGGAGAAGGGGGGGGGGGGGGGGGCGTTGGGGGTGAGATTGGGAGGATAGATGATAGATTTAGCAACAAGTAAGATCATCTTGAGTGGGGGGTATTCCCAGATCGGTTAGCATATGAACTATGATTCTCTTTAGGCAGAAAATGAGGATCCACGATGTTCGACCTGGTAGAAGTGGTTATCAAACCTCACAGCATTGGTTTTTTGACTGACTGTAGCGTCAAAACAAACTCATTCATTTACTTGAACTGAATGTTCATCTTAATTGTTATGGATAGTCACGGAGCCATGATCCAGAGTACAGGGTGTCATTAGATAGAAATAAACTAAGTAATAATAGGGTTTTACACACAAGCCAATAAACTTCGCTCATTAACACCAGAGTAAGTCAGTACAAGATTGAAAACTGCCCCATAATTATGTATGACATGCTTGTCGGGTATTGCTACATATATATGTGAAAACAAAGTTATTAAAATGAAGAGCAAAACTGATGAAAGTTAACAATAAACGTGTATACGTGTTATATCGTCACTGCAAAAATAATGATTGTTTGTCTTTAGTATTAGCATTCAAATACGTTATATCTGTATTAGCGATATTGTCTTTGTTCCACCGGTGAGTCAGCGTTAGCCGTACTATCTCGTAGTATAATTGTATTTCTGAAGACATCACGATACAGTTTTTACGATGCATCACGTCTGCACTAGCGCTTGATGACAGCCTTGTGTTTGGGTGTTTCAGTGGTTTAAATCGCTGCTCTTGATATTGTTGATTAAACTTTGATACTATGAACAATATAATGCTATTTGAGAGGTTGACTTTAGAATGGTAACATACTAATAGTATATAGGATGACATAAACAGATCTATGAGAAGTTCGTCCAGATTAGTGTATAGGCAACATTTAATAATTAAAATAATTACATTCAACAACTCCCCTTTTAAGTCCATTTTCCTGACTTATAAGTAAATGCAAGAACAATCGGCCGGAATACAATGTATAGTTCTTGTCCACTTCCATATGACTATATAGCATACAATAAGCTATCGGGTCCCGTTTAGATCGGTTTGGGTGGCAGCCTCGATAGCCATAGAATAGTTTCATCTTGGAATCTCCCATATCACTGGGGATACTCTTCAATTTAAATGGAGTTACTCGTTACGATTCCGAACCTTCACGTGACTGTGTTTATGAACCATTGTCAAATAGTGGTGACATTAAATCTAGGAAACAATACGCGAAATCGCGCATGCACAGAACGGAAAATTTGGTCAAGGCATTAAGTAATCCGCATGCGCAGAACGATTGATTTCAATACTTCCGCTAAGCGCTTCGAGTGCTGCGTCAAACGCGGGCCTGTAATCTAACACGCGGGGACTGACCAATGAAAACCGAGAAGTAGAAATACCGGGAGACGCTGTTGCTTGATTGACAATGTCAATCAAGAAAGGGAGGAGCTTAACGCTATCGTTCTCTCCCAGTAAATTCCGATGTCAAATAACGACGTTATTTGGACGGAAAAACGATGGTTTGAAAACGTCCAAATAACGTCGTTTTTCCGTCCAATGACCATATACGGAAAAAAACGACGTTTTCGTGTTTGCAGTGTTATTGGATACAGTGAAACAATTGTTAGTTGTACTTTGGTGTATTTTATAAACAATCAGTACGTATTATAAACAACCAAAATAAGGAGTCAGTGAACCTTTCACAAAAATACTCTTAGTCATTCGCACATCTTGATTGTCGACTAAGGGATTTTATTCCAATTGCGTAGATCGATGATCATGATATCAATCACTGGATTGTCCTGCCAAGGCTATCATTTACAGGCTGCCGTCATATGGCTGTGTTATTATTAAATGTGGCGTTAAATAACAAAGAAACGAATAATGAAATATGTTACTTTTGGAACGTCCATGTAATACACAAACCAGTACATATACAATCAACATTACTCTGAGCACTTTGTTAATCAGGACATTTGTTAACCGGGTGATTTCACCGAGACAGATACAGTCCGAATTTAAGGAGTTCAGACTTTATAATATTGCGATACCGATTCCTGCTGAACCATATACCAATACGCACCTTTTCCCCTATACTCCGCATCCCGGTCTGTCGGGCCAGCCTGCACAAGCAAGTCCCTTGGGGATCTCCCTCTCGATTGTTTGTCAATGTGGTATGCATTCCAACTGGCCAAGTAGAGACACACAACGCCCATGACACCGAAAAAGAAACCAGCCATCCCCCAAAATATCCATCGGGTTGACATCGTATTTCATTCTCATCTACTCTGTTCGTGCTGGGAAGGAATATCTACAAGTAACAACACAGAGTGAGTGAGTTAATATGATTTGAAGCCGAATTTCGAATTAATGTGGTCTTATCCCAGCCGAGACCACCATAATAAGGATATATACAATGTATCCAATCGAACCAGTTTGAGGTGAACTCTTACAATTGCATTTCTGGTGCTGCGCATGTGCACGTGACACAACAATGATGCTGGCAGAACAAATAGGAATGATCATCGGACCCTTGTACATCAAAGGGACGTAACTCTCCACATCGAATTTCTACAAAAAGAAACAAAGAGACAAAAACAACAACTTAAATGCGCCGACATTTGTTGTTTAGAGTTGCGTTCCTTAGCGTAGGAAAGATCTGACTTGATTGATGCATTTCATCGTATCCCAATTGTGTTGATGCATGCTCATGATATTAATCACTAGATTGTTTGGTCCAGACTCGGTTTATTTACAGACCGCCGTCATATACCTGGAATATTGCAGAGTGCGGCGTTAAACAACAAACAAACAACAGTACCATACCACCGCGTATGTAGTATTAGCAGAACAGAACACAACAGATATTTACAAATGAAAAAGACTTGTTCTTCTGCCCCTCGTCTAGCAGATACAACAACAAAAAATAATATATATATATATATATATATATATATATATATATATATATATATATATTGACAATGGAGGTTGGACACGATTTCATATTTACTTAAACAGGATTTAATAAATTAAGAAATGTATAACAGTTGTGTTTTACAACTTGTTTGTAGTAGGCTAAATTGTTTGAATTCAGATGGCCTTTCCCAATAATATTTATGTATATATTTTATTCTGTTATCTTTATATTTGGGACATATTAATAGAAAATGATACTTATCTTCAAGTACGTTGACACTTCTAGCTTGACAATAGTCACAGTATCGATGAGCTTTGATAATGTTGTGATATCATCAAACTTCTATTTTTAACTTGTGACTCGATTTTCAAATCATTGTTACATATTTCCGTAGACCTCAATATTGATATATAGTTCATAACCAAACGCTACGTTTAGATTTCTGTACAGCATAAACGTTCTACTCTTATGGAGATCTGAGTTCCATTTTTGTATATAATTATCAATAAGTCTTTGTTTAAACAAAGAGACAATTATCATAGGATTTACCGACAAAGGATTAAACCACACATATGTAAAACCATTTGTACACGACATATCTTTTACATACTGCTCAATTTTTCACACCTTTATCACAATGCTGCAAACAAATATTATATGCAACCTGTAATATACAATTCTACAAAATCTATTGATGTAAATAGGATACCGACCTAATCCTCCATATACTGTAATATTACATGCCTTTGAATGTACATTTAATACTTTCTTACATAATTTCAGATGCACCCGTTCATGATGATCAATATCAGGTGCGTTTAACGTACCGCATACCTCACAACCATAGCACAGATATAACGAAAGAATCAAATAATTAGAATAGTGTTTTGGGTGTAAATTTACAATTTCTAATACTTGATAACAATACATTCATACCTTTCCAAGCTACGAAAATGATCCAGCAAAACTGTTTTACCACTTCAAGCTGTTCATCATTTAAAAGGGGCGGTCGGGTAGCCTAGTGGTTAAAACGTTTGCTCGTCATGCCGAAGACCCGGGTTCGATTCCCGACATGGGTACAATGTGTGAAGCCCATTTCTGGTGGCCCCCGCCGTGATATTGCTGGAATATTGCTAAAAGCGGCGTAAAACCATACTCACACACTCACTCATCATTTTAAAACCATTTTTCATTTTTATGTAAATTTCTTCTTTTACTAAATACCATTACCTTCGTTTTATCGACGTTTATGTGTAAACCCCATACTTTACAGTAATTTTGCAAGCTATTTATGTACATTTGGAGCCCATTTGGTGATTCAGATAAGATAATCCTATCATCAGCAAATAATATCATAAATAGGTTAACAAAATCAATCAACAATCCTGCATCAATATTTTCTTGAAGTTTGAGCTCAAGGTATTCCAAGAATAGAGAAAAGAGTACAGGCGACATCACCTCCCCTTGTTTAATTCCAGCATCAATATAAAAATAATTGGACCGAGTGGAGTCAAACTTAACGGATGCCTTTACATTTGTGTACATTGAGTGAATAATGCTCCACATTTTCCCCCGAACACCGCTTCTAAAGATTTTAAACAATAGCCCATTTATATAAACACTGTCAAATGCTTTGCTTAAATCAACAAAGGTACAACATAGGCGCTTCTTATCACATAAACATTTACTTACAATGGATTGTAAAACAAAAATGGCATCGACAGTTGAATATCCACGTTTAAACCCAAACTGAGCATCAGATATTATGTTGTCTTGCTCCGCCCAAGCAGATAATCTATGTGTCAACACTGAAGTGAATAACTTTGTAAAACAACTGTTTAGAGTGACACCCCTGTAATTTTTAGTGTCATTTTTGGCTCCTTTCTTGTGAATAGGAATAATCAATCGAGTACATCATGACTTGGGAAATGTGCCTGTACTAAAAAGTTTATTAAATAATATAGTTATGGTTTAACAAGCATATCGGAACTGCATTTAAAAGTCCCGTTCATTATTCCATCTATTCCGACTGCTTTATTCTTCTTCAAGTTTGTAATAGAGACCTGTACTTCTTTTTCTGTGATGTCTTTTTCCAAATCCTCATGTACAGGGTTATTGTTGTTTCTGTCTTCATTAGCTTGTTTTTCTACATCCGGCAGAGTAAAGCTTTCAAATTTCAAAATAGCTTTCGAATATTTTGCAAAGTCACTGGCTGCTAACTGGTTTCCCAGATTTGATGATTTTTTAGCTTTAAAAAGCTCAAAAAAATCCTTGTGATGTCGCAACGCAATTGCACAATTTGTTTAGATTTATTATTATTAATATTGTAAATCTTTCTCTTTACAATCTACAATTTTTCCTCTTTTTCGAATGTAGATCGGACCTATTTATGTCCCTATTGAAACACTCTAAGGCACTTATGTTATCCCCCTTACTCGAAACACAGATTTTGTCAAACCAAGGTGATGATTTAGTTTAGCTACCGCTGAAGCGAGTATGAGCTCTGACAGTCAGTCCACCTTCTCCTTTCCGTGTAAAGGTTTGCAGTTTTCAGCAGGATATCACTCACATTTGCATTCCTCCCACAAAAAGCTGACACAACACTTACTCGAGAGAGCAGTGTTGTGTCCGAAGACCAGATGCTACCTATTCAAATGTCGGGGATATATTTAACATAAGTATGTTTAATATTCCACGATTTCTCTCCTCGTACTCCTGGTTGTCTCACCAGTAGTAACTCGTGCACATATTGGGGATGTGACATTCCAGAAGAGACGTTCTTCCTCCCTCGTCTAGAGATCCGGCGTAGAACAGGTCTTCAGCAACCCATACTAAAAGGCGACTATGCTTGTCGTAAGAGGCGACTAACGGGATCGGGTGGTCAGGCTCGCTGACTTGGTTGATGCATGTCATCGATCCAAACTGCGTGGATCGATGCTCATGATATTAAACACTGGATTGTCTGGTCCAGACTCGCTTATTTACAGAGCGCAGATGAAATACTGCCGTGTGCGGTGTTAAACAACCAACCTACCAACCAATCGTAGATCAGATCACATTAATTGTATACACACTGATCTTCAGCACTAACTACACATGCACTTCCTACTCACATTATTATTAGTAGTAGTAGTATTATTAGTATTATTAGTATTATTGTGGCCGTTATGACTTATATTTTTGGCCGTTTTGACTACAACCCGGATCAGCATACCTAACGTATCGGATATTGCTTTCTCCAACGCCATTGCAACGTCTGTCACTGAACATCAATACCATATGTTCCAACTATGCGCATTGTACGCGTTTGTTCTTGTGAAGGCTATGTGATAAGGACGAATTAAACATTCTGTATGATGAAAGGTTAGAGGGATCGATTCCACCGTGTTATTGTGACATAGATGTATACTTCTATATCAATAAGCATTACAGAAGAGATGAGGATTAACGAAACACATTGTGAATACACACCAGCACAGCAGAACCAAAACGCATGTGTTATCTGTATGAGTACATGTATTATTCATACACCAAATAAAATGCTCACCTCTTGGACATATTCTGTCTCCAGCATCCCCTGACGACTGCCCAGATGAACCTCACGTCGGCGACTATAGTGGCAAGTCGATGTGCTCATGAAACAGTGGCCGGCAACACCTGTTGCACCGTGTTAAAAATTGGCTCAATAACGCAATCATTTAAACTAGAATCATAGTATTGTATTACAAAGGACAAGGCAGAACTTTGAAAACGCCTGAGCTCTTACCAAGGATATTCTGAGTGTCAAGATTGGGGCTGAATGAGACATGCTTGGAGACGTTGTCATACACATATAACTGGATGTTTCAAAGGAACTGAGGCATTTCTATTTTATTTCAAGTATTTCAACATACGTTTACAATTTTATAAGTTGTTGTCCTGAGATTTGTAAACGTATGAAATGTCTCAGCATCCCTATTAAGAGCTGAGTACATATTTATGTCAATGTGTATGAAAGAGACCGATGTTTCGGAATTTATAAATGAAAAATACAAAGTCCGTGACGTATATACATTTACTCGTAGTTACCTATATATCACATGAAAATCTGCTTTGTCTAGATCCTGATCGTGTTCATTTTGATGGTACAAATACTTGAAAAACGCTTCCTTAAAAACATATTTGACCCTAACGTGTAATTAATGATCCAACACACACAGACATTTGAGTGAGTGAGTGAGTGAGTGAGTGAGTTGGGTTTAACGCCGCTTTTAATAGTATTCCAATTATAACACGGCGTTACAGACATTTGAACGAAAGTCTAGTAATCATTTGTATGACCACATTTGATGCTTATATAACGAGTCCTAAAGGTTTTGCCTGTATCAAATATGCAAACGCCTTGTCCTTCAGACATGTGTCAAATATAAGGTAACATGAACATTCTATTCTCTTATAATCACCAATGGTGATAGAGCGTCCGCCCGGAGAGCGGAAGGTACGGGGTTTGATCCCCGGCCGCGTCATAATACCAAAAGATATTAAAGTTTGATAATTTTTGTTACCCTGCCTGAAGTCCGACTCAGCGTCAGTTTTCAGTGTCTGAGTTGGATATCCATGTTAATCTGCGGCATGGTGTATATCTCAGTGGGCTTGCACTGTAAAATCGGCATTAGTCCTAGTACTAGCAGACACACACACACACACACACACACACACACACACACACACACGCGTATATAAGGGCAATTATCTTGGAAGCGACGTTAAACCTAGTACATGTTTAGGAATGGTAGTTGGTCTCTTTCGAGAGGGTTATTTTTTGCCTTAACAGACAGTTCTAAAATTCTATAATTTATATACTATATAAGATTTACTGCTGCAATACAAAATAGATGATATGCACTGTATCACCTTGTTAGTGAGAGGAAATGATGTTTTTCTTCAACACATTCTTTGGCAGATACGTCATTGGTTGATCCAATGATATATTTTGGATGGCGTTCAATGTATTGTACTGTTAGCGATTGATAAACAGTTTTCACAATGCAATCTTGAGCAGAGCGTCATTGCTTGATCCAATGATTGAGTTCAAATTTGGATATCGTTCAATGCATTGCTCTGTAAGTGAGTAAATAGTAGTTTTTAACACTGCAGTCTGGAGCAGATAAGTCATTGGTTGATCCACGCCTCCCCGTTGAACACGTTGTGACTCTTCGATTCCCGTTTACGTACTTCTATGCTCCAGATTAACCTCCTGGACCTTGAACCAGGTACACTCATAAATCAACAGGCAAACAACAGCTGTTGCTACAGACATCCATACGGTCATTGTTATCCATTTTACCCATATTGCCCCTTGGCCTGTGTTGGATTAGGACGCTGTTGCAGAGGAGACTATTTTACAATTTCCTGATAGGATAAAAATAATGCTGGTTTTTTTGCGCTCTGGTTAGATACTCTCTGCTGTGAAACTTGCATGTCCGAACATGTAATGGTCCTCTTATTTTCTGCTTCTGAATAATCGAGAAGATTGAATGATTATCTTGAATTACGATGAATAACAGTATTATTCTCGGTGCTTTATGTTACGCGTTATGTTGTAATGCGCTGTTTAAAAGATGATTTATAGATCATTTTTGTCCCTTAATCCCACAAATGTAATGTATTCCTCATGCTGGTCATAGATACGACTATGTTAATGCTGCCTTAATATTGAAAAAAAAACATTCTGCGTGTGTCTTACATGTATATTTGCATTTGACATTTGTATTTTTTTCACCGCCATTTTGTCGTTTACGCCCAACGGAATCTCTTTCGGCTGATAATCAACACTGGTTATTCTCTGGCGTTGGTGTTTTATACATGTTTTAATTGTATAGCATTCTGTGTGCATTTTCCCTTTTATTAATACAGAGTTTGGCTTTTCATAGATATCTCAAAGATCATAGTTAAAGTGTACATACAGAAGCAATATTAGTCTTTAGGCACAACGAGTGATAATATTTACCAATGTGCTGCTTATTATTCTGATACTGCAGGGCCGGTCGGGTAGTCTGTTGGTTAAAGCGTTCGCTCGTCACGTCAAACACCCGGGTTCGTTTTCATACATGGGTACAATGTGTGAAGCCCATTTCTGGTTCCCCCCGCCCTCACTCACTCACTCTGATACAGCAGGAGAAAGTCTCTTGAGGGTTCGGCTTGGCAATCCAGTCTCTACATAAATGTTAAGTGATGACGACAACTTCACTGATAACAGTAAAATAAACTAATAGAAAGGTAGGAACTTTGACTGTTTTGATTTGGTTACTTTTGATATTCTTGACTAGATAACATTGGACCCGTGAAGTTTCGGGTGGTCAGGCTCGCTGAATTGGTTGATTCATGTCATTGATCCCAATTGCGTGGATCGATGCTCATGATATTAAGCACTGGATTGTCTGGTCCAGACTCGATTATTTACAGACCGCCGTCATATAGCTGGAATATTGCTGAGTGCGGCGTTAAACAACAAACCAACAACAACTAGATACCATTGGCGCTATCGCTAGAGTATGCCGATATGCAGAAGAAAACACAAACGTGTTGGGGTGGTGATGGGGATGGCACATATTCATCATTATTATAGTGTTTAGCTTTATCTTCCTTTTATCATATATGGCAATGTAATTCATTGTTAAATAATGTTGTCAAGGTATTGAATTGTTTCTGTTGAGATTAAGTGGAGGATCATAGCATTGTGCTTCTACAATAGTCACTTGTCAAGAATGTAGTACTATAATGTAAGTCATGGGGTTGAAGTTCATATAATTAGATGCTTTTGGAGTCATATGTAATCTGGAATCTTCTAGAACAGCTATAGACGAATCCAGCATAAATAACATTTTCTAGCAAATGTTTGTACAGGATAAGTCGGCAAACGCCTGCCTCTTTCATCTCACATTACATCAAGGCCAGCGGCATGTGAATGTCACTTTTCACCCTGGATATCCAACCTGGACCTGTTTGGGAAACTTGACCACTGTTCCTGTGAGGTGAATATCATTATCACTGACTTGTTGCTTTTACGATTGCTGTTTGTTTGTTTGTTGTTTAACGCCCTTCTCCGCAATATTCCACGTATCCACCGGTCTGAAAATAATCGAATCTGGACCAGACAATCAAGTGATTGACATCATGAGCATCGATCTGCACAATTGGGATACGATTAATGCATAAACCAAGTCATCGGGCCTGACTACTAGCCATTCACGGCACGCAAGGGTTGCTGAAAACCTATTCTACCACGGATCTTCACGGGTCTGTTGTATTGTATACTGCCAGTGTAATTGTACTGCCATTCCATTTTTTACTGCCATTCTATTGTGTGCTGCCATGATTGTAATTGATTCCCAGTTATGTGTATTGATTTGTAAACCTGGTGCATTTTGTAATACAATTGTTGATTGCATGTAACAGCATTTATTTGTTATTTGTTGGTTTCACAATGGACTCTTTTAAGCTTTGAGTTCTGAGTTAACCGATTGTTTCACTTTGGAAGTTGAGACATAACATATTCTATTTGAAAAAAACCCACACAAATGGTGAGTGGATGGTTGATAAACCTGTAGTTTATGAAGTATCTATGCACATGTTTGGCGTTGAAAGGTAGACATGGAGCGTTCATTCCAGGCTCTGCTTAATTCCTAAAGGAGTTTTACATGGTTTACATCTAGCGTCACTAGGTTTGTCATCATGTTCAAACTTGAAGTTCACGTCAGGCAGATATGCAACAGGGAACTGCATTGTTAAGCCCGATGGCTTCGTTACCCCACAGTCATATCAGCAATAACTTCAGACACCATTGCTAAATGGCGTGCGTTGGTGAGTTCTGTGTCACGCCGCTACAGTTTCTTTATTTCATCACATCAAGACTGTCAGCTTTATGAGGACGCGAACTTGAAGTGCTGCAGGCCTGAGACATTTAGAACGTCTCTGAAATCCATGGGATGGTGCTGTGAAACCAAGGATCATAATCAGTGCGAATCTGGGCTTTAACCCATAATACTGATTAGGATCCTGTCACATGTCAGGAATGCGACACCGTACCTACACTATTGCTGTAATGAATTCGAATTCTAAATATCCAAAGGTCGTATTGACTCTTTTATAAATCAATATGTATTTCCCTGCTTCCTTCATAAATCATCGGAGTACTAATCGAGTACTTGATTTCATTTCAGCCAAATATTGATGACAAGTGCTGACAATGATATACAGGCTGTTGTATGTGGTATTTAAGCTATGATTTGCAGCATGTTAATATTGATTGTCTCTTGGATTTCTCTACCAACATCAATTATGATCTCCTGTGTTTCAGTCTGATGTCAGACAATTAGGTACATGTATAGCGATCAAAGAAAAGTCGATGATTTCTTCAAATATGCGTCTTAATGGCAAAACATTTACAGTATGTACTGATATATTGATCTATATCTCCAAATGGCAGATAATAACCCACCATGAATTCTATTTTAAAATATTTCAAAATAGTTCATGTTATATACAGCAGTAGTCCCAATGAAAGTTTTCAACATAGTCCTCACAAAACACATTCTTTCTGATATATAGTCTGGAAGGTAATGTAAGGTCCGACGTTTACTACAATATGTGAAAAACTATCGGACCTACGTATACTCCAGTCAAAGTTGGTATGAGATTATTAAACAGTCATACATAACTGGATATTACATTTAAAGACAATCGGTGCATGAATAAAAATTCTGTCTATTTAGCTGTCACTATATTTCATCAACAACCAGACCTGTTCGTCACGGGTGGAACGAGCATTCATTGAAACAGCCATCTGCATAATGCTACCCCTGCGTCACAGGGCCATATGACACAGTTGAACCAATCAACTCAACTCGAAAGGGTGCACGGGAATCACGCACGCACGAATACGGTGTTAGCGTTGGGCGTCTCAACGTGCGTGATTCCCGTAATCTCATACCAACTTTGACTGGAGTAGGTCCGATAGTTTTTCACATATTGTAGTAAACGTCAGTACCTTGAATTACCTTCCAGACTTATAGTAGGTACTGCATCAATCACGGTTGATGTCACGTGGCATTCTGATCCACTTGTGTTCATATTGTAAGTTCAATTATGAAACATTCGTTGATAGTTCATGTTATGTGCAACAGGAGACCCATTGAAGGTTTTCAACATATTCCTCCGAAAACCCTTAGTAGGAACTGCATCAATATGATCCCCTGGGGGTGGTCATTTGGTGGGTTCCTCGACTAGCTAAAGCAAACCGGCTTATAAAGCCACACGTTTCCTCTTCAAAGGAATATTCATTGTTCACCATGATAAACGCTCCGTGTTCATCATCGGGTAGTTGGTCTTGAGTGTGTACCCTGCATGGAACATTAGACAAGATTGCTTGTCCGTGGTTTGTCATATCCATGAGTGGTCAGGTTATACAAGAAGAAGTCCATGATTCGCATCGCACATGGTCCAACATAGTGAAACGACGCGGCCACGGGACAAACAGCATCTACACCCTGAAAAAGAGGAAGCCTGACGGTGAGTAACTGCATTGAGTTTAACGACAGTAAGGGGGCACGGGTGGCCCAGTCGTCCAAGGCGCCGCGATTCGCTGTGCAGAGTTGCGTCCCTTGGGCACGCAAGAAACCTATGATTGTGGGTTCGAATCCCGGTTCGCCCCGATCATGTTTCTAGGTTTGTCCGCACCATACCCGTGCTCGTGGGTTTCATCGAAGTGGTAAACGTCTGAGACCTGCATCGCTTCGGGCTTTCCTCCCACATTAAGCTGACACGCCGCGATATAACTGGAATACTGTTAAAAGCGGCGTTAAACCCCAACTCACTCACTCACTCACGCCAGTGAAATGGAAACCTGCGTAAGGTTACTGGGAGAGGAGGATCTGAAGTGAGGCAGATCGTATACCATTTTCACCTCTGTCAAACCGACATTCGCATGATATGATGGCAACAGTCTGTAAATGTACATTACAGTGACTGAAATATTTAAATATTCAACATTCTTTAATAGTAGCCGAGTAGAAGTTTATGCAAAGAATATATTTCGGGATCCGTAAAGGAATAACAGTGAATTGTTTGTAAATGTAACTAATGTAGATTCTTAAAGTTCAACATATCTTTCAAAGTTGCAGAGTAGAAGTTTATGCTGTCATAATATATATTGAAGGACGGTAGGTAAAATAGAAAATAAGCATAAACCATAACACCTACCCAAAGTAAAAAGACTGTTTTTCGAACCACTGAATCGTTCATTCTGTAATTTGTTAATCTCTACAATACGTTGGTACGGTCCCGTCCAGATTAAAGAAGCTTTATTGTTATCCATATCATCTTTATCTTTGTGTATCATCATCAAGTCGGGGCGGTCGGGTAGCCTAGTGGTTAACGCATCTTCACGCCGAAGACCTGGGTTCGATTCCCGACATGGGTACAATGTGCAAAGCCCATTTCTGGGGTCCCCTGCTGTGATATTGCTGGAATATTGTAAAAAGCGGCGTCAAACCATACTCACTCACTCACTCGTCATCAAGTCCAGAATCGATTATTAACAGGTCATATAGCTGACTACTGCTGAGTGCGGCGGTAAACAACAAACAAAACAAACATGTACTATTCATCTACTACACGGTATAATTAAGTTTAATTTTGTTCTCTATTCACCACCCACGATGGTACAAGAGATATGAAATTCCTGAAAAAAATAATCAAACCGAAATTGTCAACTTACCGACTGTATATAAGTAATCCCCATCGCCCACGTCGGCCAATTCCCCTGAATAATTGATATAGGTTTGTTCCAGTTGAATATAGGCCTCCCAAAACTGTCCGTTGCCTTCCCAACATCGATGCCCAGTGTTTTGAGACACACACCCACCCTTACATCTTCACTTTCTGCTTGATGACATGCATCCACATCCTCGCTATATAAAGCGATCCTTTTCAAACCCTCTTTTCCGAGGGCGTAGCCAGCACCCCCACTGTTGTAAACGCCTTGCTTCTTTCTGTCAAAAACCTCACCATAATAAAAAAGTCCGTTTGTGTTTTGCTTTCCAAGGAAGTGACGTAGATTGTCTACTATTACGTAAGTGTCGTCATCTGCCTTGAAGAACCAGTCAGCTTTATCGTGATAATGTTGGAACAAATATTTCAATACTGCGAACGACTTATCTGCTAGATGTTCACGTCCTTGCGGAATATCTAGCTTAATTGTGGGTATTTCAGTGTTGGCTACTGAACTAAAGAATAAAGTTATGTCGCATCTCTTCGACCATGTGTCTTTGACTGCTCTTGTCTTGTTTGCGAAGTTGCAGGGCTGTGTGAGGACCCAGCACAGGAGTCTGATCCCTAAAAAAGTAAACAAGATTATCCATTTTTGCGGAGCACATATGAAAAGGGGATTTTACAATAAGAGTTAGGCTTTGCAGACATCCAGTGAAGTCATAGTAGTGAGTGAGTAAGTATGGTTTTACGCCGCTTTTAGCAATATTCCAGCAATATCACGGCGGGGGACACCAGAAATGGGCTTCACACTTTGTACCCATGTCGGGAATCGAACCCGGGTCTTCGGCGTGACGAGCGAACGCTTTAACCACTAGGCTACCCGACCGCCCCGAAGTCATAGTAGGAAAACTGCCCACCTGGGACAACTCCACCTGAAATCTATCACCCATTAATACAGCACAAGACAAGCACAGGTTTCTGTCAATAATAATAATTTTGAATCTCGAATATTCGAACACTGTATAATCGCACTCATAGTTCTTGACAATAATCATGTGTACAGTTGTACCTTGTCAATCCGGACACCGTTAATCCCGGAAATCCCGTTTTCTGGACTATTGCTGTTTCGACAGCCTACATGTGTTCAAAGGCACAGTTCTCCATACCCCTGATCCGTTTACCCGGACATCCATTAATCCGGACGATCTGACTGATAACGCTACCGTCCAGATTAACGGGGTTCCACTGCATATAGAAAAGTGGCGTGTTAGCAACTTATAGCAAGCCCTTTAAAGAGTAGTAGCAGTAGCAGTAGCAGTAGCAGTAGCAGTAGCAGCAGCAGCAGCAGTAGCAGTAGTAGTAGTAGTAGTAGTAGTAGTAGTAGTGTATTCTGGTTCATACTGCATATAACTCTTCGCGGGTAGCGATTCAAGATATTGAACATTATTTCATCAGTTAACTTTGAGTGTCAAGTGTTTCAAAGCACCGAGGCATTGCTATTTACAAAATAATCTTCACGTACGTGTGCATATTGAAAAAAAAGAGATTATCAGATACTTGTGAGATATTATCAAGGAACAGTTGTCCGAGGAGCATTTGTCTCCTGGGGCAGTTTTCAGGGGCAATTGTTCCGGAATCATTGTCTTCATCACCAGCCTACGACGCCGCCCTCTATGCATGTTAAAAGGAAAGAGTTACGTCCCTCGGGCGGGCCAGAAACCAATGATTGTGTGTTTGAATCGTGTAGTTGATAATTTTTCGAATTTGTAAGCACCATACCCGTGGTTCCATCAAAGCAGTAAACGCCTGGAACCTGCATCACTTCGGTTTTCTTCCCACATCAAAGTGGCGTTAACCCAACTCACTCACTAACTCACTCACTCACTCAATGCTTGTTTGAAACACCTACCTGAATTACGATATTTCTGTCCAGAAGTTCCTATAGGGTATTTCCTCTGTGTTTCCTCCCGTAGTTCCGTATGACGTGACCCCAACGCGTCAAACATTATCACCGTTGTCATCAAACCAGTTATCAAGCCTAATGCCGTATACCAGTTTGCGTTGACCATTGTGAAATGTCATCATCGTTACAGTTGGATGGAAGTTATCTGAATATTACGATATATAAAATTGATACAAATGTGTACATCACGTGTATATCTCCGCCACAAACAAAATGTTCGTCAAAAATGGCGTTTTACTGTCATATCAAAAGGCATCAGAACTTGAAATAAGACTCTATGCTCTTAGCTTGTCAACAGAATATACGTGTTTCACCTCTGGATAGCAATTGGGACTGGAAAAACAGTTCAGACATTTGGTTGTTTGTGTCCTTGTCGGACTCCTTGGATCAGAGAAACCCTGATTACTTCCAGATTTTCTTGCAATTACTGACAGTGACCAGATACATTTCCTAGCGGGAACAGGCAAAAACAAATGAACAGCGTGGGTAACATGGAATGTGTATGATGAAGCGATAGAGGCTTCAATCTTATTGGTGATGGACCAACCGAACAGGATGGAGACACGAGAGGCCAGGCATTCAGTGGTCTGTGGTCTTACAAGGGTTGTTGAGGCATGCTTAGAATTATTCCCTGAGAAAGGTACAGCATGCAATTAATTCCTTCCGTCTACATCACCACCGGCTTGGTACCAAAAGGTAAAAAAAGCTACATTTCAAGCTGTCGGGTGACAAGTCTAGAGAGAGGATGGGTAATATCATTTGCACATGTCTTAATAGACTTGACTGCCACAAGCTTCTAATTAAGTCATGCCAAGAGCTTCGGATATGTAGTTGCTTGTCCGCGAGGGGGTGCAGAGCAAGGCGTTACTGTGTTGTGGCACATTTAGTTAGTACACCACTATGTAAATGTGGTGGCGACTGTTATCACATTTAATTGTCGCTAACCAACCAACCAACAGCATCTTTTAATGCATTCAAATTTTATTCTTTCAAAATTCCGTTGTTGTCATTGTATTCACCAAATAAGGACACAATATTGATATAGTTAATTGGCCTGAATGGAGTATATCTTAAAGATGCGTCGAAGAAGAAAGAAATGAATATTTTCTCACACTTTAGATCATCTAAATCAAGATAAATAGTCTATTATGATAAAGTTATTTACTTTACATATGTCGTGTTGGGTTTATGCATTCCAAAATGTTATTTTTTTATTAAATACTAAGGTTGTGCGTCCAGTTCATACGAAATATGCTAGAATTTTATTCCTCCATGACGGTCAAATTGGAATTGGCGGCCATACTGGATTTTTTGGGTGGCCAAATATCTGAAAATATTTGGAATGTCAATACCTACAACTATCACCCTATAGATGTACTGTAAAGGACACGGGCCCATCTTTGCTGAAATGAGACATACACTGTATCATTTTTGCCAAGTTTATCGAGGAGTTGCGTATTGACGGGACATGCGTTTGTCGTATTCCTTCAACTTGCAATTGATTCCCCCAGATTCCATTGTGATGAAAGTAGTACTTTTTGGTGGGCGTGGCTTTTTTGCATTCATTGGGAAATAAAATTGCAGGAATAATAATGAACCGACAAAGTGTCAAAACTGGCGTGTGACTAACTTCACCAGAGCTTATTGTTGAAATCATCTTATCAATGTCTTTCTTTGACAAATTAACTAAAGGACATCCGAAAAGTGATGAACTCAAACAAAGTGTTTTCTTCTATCAACAGGTTTAAAAACAAAATCCGATCAGAATTCAACAATGCAGAACATAAACTGTAACAAGTCAAAATCACTCGAAATAAAATTCATTCACGTCTATATCAAGGTTTTGGTCGGAATGGAATAATGTCAGTAGTTAGCATGGTTTGATATGACTTGCAAGGAAGCATATTTTGTCTTTTTTTTTAGACAGAAATAGAATCTACATTTCAAGCATTTAATGGATGTGAAGCCACTGCATTTCTCACACTTGCACCTCTGGAGAATTGTATTTCAGACGAACATTTCTTCTTGGTTGATACCCGTGCCCGTGGGTTTCACCGAAGAGGTAAACGTCTTAGGCCTGCATCACATCCTCCCACATTAAGCTGACACGCCGCAATATAACTGGAATACTGTTAAAAGCGCCGTTAAACCCAACTCACTCACTCACTCATTTCTTGGACGTGAGCTCATTCTCCAAAAAGGACAACAATTTCTTGCAAAGTAAATTATGTTCACTTCAATAAAATATTTTATGATTATTTTACGAATTATTTAACCCCAAATTAACGACGTTTCCTGTAATTTACAGAAAAATATATATATAAATCACTTGATAGATAGATATCTACCCTTTTCACTTCCTCTAATTCCCAGTGTAGCACATATGCTACAGAGGGATGAGGGGCGGTCGGGTAGCCTAGTGGTTAAAGCGTTCGCTCGTCACGCCGAAGACCCGGGTTCGATTCCCGACATGGGTACAATGTGTGAAGCCCATTTCTGGTGTCCCCCGCCGTGATATTGCTGGAATATTGCTAAAAGCGGCGTAAAACGATACTCACTCACTCACTCACTACAGAGGGATGTACCGTGACACTACAAAAAATCAAATGTAATAACACCACACAATAATCACAAAATGTTGTGTATATAATATTATCCTCTTAAGATGAAGAAACAGTTTGCGTATAGTGTTATTTCCTGAAAGAATGTATACTACTCTGGCATTATACTTCTAAGAGAAGCACGATTTCTGCATGAAGGCGGCCATGTTTGATTATATAGGGGAGAGTCGCATACTGAACCCATTCGTCACCACTCGCCCCTTTCCGTAACCTGCAAGAAGACTCGTCCCCCTATTGATGAATGTTATGTGTGAAAATACGACAACCCAATCAGAATGCGCGTATGATTTCAAGTACTTCGTCAAAGAATCCCTCAGAAATATTTTTTTGATTTTACATATGTCATGCATCTAAAATTTTACCCTAGACACAGTTAAATGTGTTCAATCATACTGTATAATTCCGTACGTCCCGATGTGCTTTAAATTGCATCTGAAATATATATAATATATAGGGAAATATATGTGAACCATTACGCAACGAATTGACAATTATTTTAGGCATGCCCGTTTGCGCTAAGGCGGAACCCGGTCGCATGAATGGCCACGAGAGGCACACGAGTCGCTATTCGGCTTGTCCCGGAATAAAACGAGTTGGTCACGAATGATACTGAACCAGCAATTAGTATGAAACTACAGGATGACTTACACAATTTGCATATTCAAGGTCATTGAGGGGGGACAACTTACAGTGTACAGTTTTACAGTACACATTTCCACTTGTTGAAGTGTTATATAGCATATACACATGTACATGTATGTTAGTTACAATGGGCACAAGAGGGTGAAAACAATTAACAAACGCCTGAGCATTTTGTACCGGTCAAAATTGGGAATTGCACTGGAAGGAAGCGAAATAGTTTTCAAAACAGTACGACATTCTGTCTGCCGTACAAAAGCTTCCGATGAAATGCAAATATACTGAAACAACAACTGTTATACCTTAATAATAAGAACCACAATGTAAATTACATCTATTTACTCCTACCAACTTATCAACTAAATTATGCTTTGGTTTTGTTTTGTAAAGTTAAATATTATTTCGTCGGATGTTTTTTTGACGCAAACGGACATCAGAAAGGTACAGTAATTAATACTTACTTGTTTCTTAATCATATTCCCTTCATCCTATTAATTTTACAAAAAAATCATAAATACTTTTTTTAGAAAAAATGTATTTGTGATACTTACGTGAAGTAACAGCAGAGATAGTTTCTCATTGTAATCATCGCCCTTGAATCTAATGCCATACATAACGTTAGATTCACAATGAAGTTGTGGTGTCAACATTCTGATATGTTTCCTGATAAGCATGGAGCGTTCACTACGTCAAGACCCGTGTCGTGAAAATCAATTAGATGCTGATAGCCCTACACATATCGACCAAACCATTTATATGGAATTGACCACGGTCACCCCGTAAACAAAAACACGTTCTCCAGCTGTACTTCGATGTATCAATATTGATTTTGTGGTAAGGGATCCGGTGTCTCACCTGTGATTGATATATCAACATATGCACAAGTGTATATGTATTTATGACACGTTTCCATAACAACGTTGTTTACAGTACAAACAGCTGTTTCTGTTTGAGCATATTTGAACTCCATTTTTTTACATATTAATAGAAAAATGCAGTTGTTTTTGTTGATATGTACGGCTGCCTGCAGCCAGGTTTCTGTCAATAATAATAATTTTGGATCTCGAATATTCGAACTCTGTATATTGGAACTCATAGTTCTTGACAATAATCCCGTGTACAGTTGTACCTTGTCAATCCGGACCCCGTTAATCCCGGAAATCCCGTTTTCCGGACTATTGCTGTTTCGACAGCCTACATGTGTTCAAAGGCACAGTTCTCCATACCCCTGATCCGTTTACCCGGACATCCATTAATCCGGACGATCTGACTGATAACGCTACCGTCCAGATTAACAGGGTTCCACTGTATATTGAGTGGCGTGTTAGCAACTTATAGCAAGCCCTTTAAAGAGTAGTAGCAGTAGCAGTAGCAGTAGCAGCAGCAGCAGCAGTAGCAGTAGTAGTAGTAGTAGTAGTAGTAGTAGTGTATTCTGGTTCATACTGCATATAACTCTTCGCGGGTAGCGATTCAAGATATTGAACATTATTTCATCAGTTAACTTTGAGTGTCAAGTGTTTCAAAGCACCGAGGCATTGCTATTTACAAAATAATCTTCACGTACGTGTGCATATTGAAAAAAAGAGATTATCAGATACTTGTGAGATATTATCAAGGAACAGTTGTCCGAGGAGCATTTGTCTCCTGGGGCAGTTTTCAGGGGCAATTGTTCCGGAATCATTGTCTTCATCACCAGCCTACGACGCCACCCTCTATGCATGTTAAAAGGAAAGAGTTACGTCCCTCGGGCGGGCCAGAAACCAATGATTGTGTGTTTGAATCGTGTAGTTGATAATTTTTCGAATTTGTAAGCACCATACCCGTGGTTCCATCAAAGCAGTAAACGCCTGGAACCTGCATCACTTCGGTTTTCTTCCCACATCAAAGTGGCGTTAACCCAACTCACTCACTCACTCACTCACTCACTCAATGCTCGTTTGAAAAACCTACCTGAATTACGATATTTCTGTCCAGAAGTCCCTATAGGGTATTTCCTCTGTGTTTCCTCCCGTAGTTCCGTATGACGTGACCCCAACGCGTCAAACATTATCACCGTTGTCATCAAACCAGTTATCAAGCCTAATGCCGTATACCAGTTTGCGTTGACCATTGTGAAATGTCATCATCGTTACAGTTGGATGGAAGTCATCTGAATATTACGATATATAAAATTGATACAAATGTGTACATCACGTGTATATCTCTGCCACAAACAAAATGGTCGTCAAAAATGGCGTTTAAATGTTATATCAAAAGGCATCAGAACTTGAAATAAGGCTCTATGCTCTGAGCTTGTCAACAGAATATACATGTTTCACCTCTGGATAGCATTTGGGACTGGAAAAACAGTTCAGACATTTTGTTGTTTTTGTCCTTGTCGGACTCCTTGGATCAGAGAAACCCTGATTACTTCCAGGTTTTCTTGCAATTACTGACTGTGACCAGACATCTTTCCTAGCGGGGAAAAGGCAAAAACAAATGAACAGCGTGGGTAACATGGAATGTGTATGATGAAGCGATAGAGGCTTCAATCTTATTGGTGATGGACCAACCGAACAGGATGGAGACACGAGAGGCAAGTCATTCAGCGGTCTGTGGTCTTACAAGGGTTGTTGAGGCATGCTTAGAATTATTCCCTAAGAAAGGTACAGCATGCAATTAATTCCTTCCTTCTACATCACCACCGGCTTTGCACCAAGGTAAACAAAGCTGCATTTCGTGTGTGTGTGTGTGTGAGAGTGAGAGAGAGAGAGAGAGAGAGAGAGAGAGTGTGTGTGTGTGTGTGTGTGTGTGTAAGCCCATTTGCACATGTCTTTATGGACTTAACTGCCACAAGCTTCTAAGTCATGCCAAGAGCTTCGGATATGTAGTTGCTTGTCCGCGAGGGGGTGCAGAGCAGGGCGTTACTGTGTTGTGGCACATTTAGTTAGAACACCACTATGTAAATGTGGTGGCGACTGTTATCACATTTAATTGTCGCTAACCAACCAACCCATTAGCCATTTACGGCATCTTTTAATGCATTCAAATTTTATTCTTTCAAAAGTCCGTTGTTGTCATTGTATTCACCAAATGAGGACACAATATTGATATAGTTAATTGGCCTTAATGGAGTATATCTTAAAGATGTGTCGAAGAAGAAAGAAATGAATATTTTCTCACACTTTAGATCATCTAAATCAAGATAAATAGTCTATTATGATAAAGTTATTTACATTACATATGTAGTGTTGGGTGTATGATTTCCAAAATGTTTTGTTTTTTTATTAAATACTAAGGTTGTGCGTCCAGTTCATACGAAATATGCTAGAATTTTATTCCTCCATGACGGTCAAATTGGAATTGGCGGCCACACTGGATTTTTTGGGTGGCCAAATATCTGAAAATATTTGGAATGTCAATACCTACAACTATCACCCTATAGATGTACTGTAAAGGACACGGGCCCATCTTTGCTGAAATGAGACATATCATTTTGCATTTTTGCCAAGTTTATCGAGGAGTTGCGTATTGACGGGACATGCGTTTGTCGTATTCCCTCAACTTGCAATTGATTCCCCCAGATTCCATTGTGATGAAAGTAGTACTTTTTGGTGGGCGTGGCTTTTTTGCATTCATTGGGAAATAAAATTGCAGGAATAATAATGAACCGACAAAATGTCAAAACTGGCGTGTGACTAACTTCACCAGAGCTTATTGTTGAAATCATCTTATCAATGTCTTTCTTTGACAAATTAACTAAAGGACATCCGAAAAAAGTGTTTTCTTCTATCAACTGGTTTAAAAACAAAATCCGATCAGAATTCAACAATGCAGAACATAAACTGTAACAAGTCAAAATCACTCAAAATAAAATTCATTCACGTCTAGATCAAGGTTTTGGTCGGAATGGAATAATGTCAGTAGTTAGCATAGTTTGATATGAATTGCAAGGAAGCATATTTTGTCTTTTTTTAGACAGACATAGAATCTACATTTCAAGCATTTGATGGATGTGAAGCCCCTGCATTTCTCACACTTGCACCTCTGGAGAATTGTATTCCAGACGTACATTTCTTCTTGGTCGATACCCGTGCCCGTGGGTTTCACCCAAGTGGTAAACGTCTGAGACCTGCATCACTTCGGGCTTTCCTCACACATTAAGCTGACACGCCGCGATATAACTGGAATACTGTTAAAAGCACCGTTAAACCCAACTCACACACTCACTCATTTCTTAGACGTGAGCTCATTCTCCAAAAAAGGACAACAATTTCTTGCAAAGTAAATTATGTTCACTTCAATAAAATATTTTATGATTATTTTACGAATTATTTAACCCCAAATTAACGACGTTTCCTGTAATTTACAGAAATATATATATATATATATAAATCACTTGATAGATATCTACCCTTTTCACTTCCTCTAATTCCCAGTGTAGCACATATGCTACAGAGGGATGTACCGTGACACTACAAAAAATCAAATGTAATAACACCACACAATAATCACAAAATGTGTATATAATATTATCCTCTTAAGATGAAGAAACAGTTTGCGTATAGTGTTATTTCCTGAAAGAATGTATACTACTCTGGCATTATACTTCTAAGAGAAGCACGATTTCTGCATGAAGGCGGCCATGTTTGATTATATAGGGGAGAGTCGCATACTGAACCCATTCGTCACCACTCGCCCCTTTCCGTAACCTGCAAGAAGACTCGTCCCCCTATTGATGAATGTTATGTGTGAAAATACGACAACCCAATCAGAATGCGCGTATGATTTCAAGTACTTCGTCAAAGAATCCCTCAGAAATATTTTTTGATTTTACATATGTCTTGCATCTAAAATTTTACCCAAGACACACTTAAATGTGTTCAATCATACTGTATAATTCCGTACGTCCCGATGTGCTTTAAATTGCATCTGAAATATATATAATATATAGGGAAATATATGTGAACCATTACGCAACGAATTGACAATTATTTGAGGCATGCCCGTTTGCGCTAAGGCGGAACCCGGTCGCATGAATGGCCACGAGAGGCACACGAGTCGCTATTCGGCTTGTCCCGGAATAACACGAGTTGGTCACGAATGATACTGAACCAGCAATTAGTATGAAACTACAGGATGACTTACACAATTTGCATATTCAAGGTCATTGAGGGGGGACAACTCCTAGTTTTACAGTACACATTCCCACTTGTTGAAGTATTATATAGCATATACACATGTACATGTATGTTAGTTACAATGGGCATAAGAGGGTGAAAACAATTAACACACGCCTGAAGATTTTGTACCGGTCAAAATTGGGAATTGCACTGGAAGGAAGCGAAATAGTTTTCAAAACAGTACGACATTCTGTCTGCCGTACAAAAGCTTCCGATGAAATGCAAATATACTGAAACAACAACTGTTATACCTTAATAATAAGAACCACAATGTAAATTTCATCTATTTACTCCTACCAACTTATCAACTAAATTATGCTTTGGTTTTGTTTTGTAAAGTTAAATATTATTTCGTCGGATGTTTTTTTGACGCAAACGGACATCAGAAAGGTACAGTAATTAATACTTACTTGTTTCTTAATCATATTCCCTTCATCCTATTAATTTTACAAAAAAATCATAAATACTGTTTTTAGAAAAAATGTATTTGTGATACTTACGTGAAGTAACAGCAGAGATAGTTTCTCATTGTAATCATCGCCCTTGAATCTAATGCCATACATAACGTTAGATTCACAATGAAGTTGTGGTGTCAACATTCTGATATGTTTCCTGATAAGCATGGAGCGTTCACTACGTCAAGACCCGTGTCGTGAAAATCAATTAGATGCTGATAGCCCTACACATATCGACCAAACCATTTATATGGAATTGACCACGGTCACCCCGTAAATATAAACAAAAACACGTTCTCCAGCTGTACTTCGATGTATCAATATTGATTTTGTGGTAAGGGATCCGGTGTTTCACCTGTGATTGATATATCAACATATGCACAAGTGTATATGTATTTATGACACGTTTCCATAACAACGTTGTTTACAGTACAAACAGCTGTTTCTGTTTGAGCATATTTGAACTCCATTTTTTTACATATTAATAGAAAAATGCAGTTGTTTTTGTTGATATGTACGGCTGCCTGCTCTCAACAAGTTCTGCTCCTGTTGTTTTTTGTTTACCGTCTCCTTTGGTGAGTTACTTCTTTCGATATGACAGTCACCCATCCCATCCGCTAGAATGAAATTGTGGCGTTTTTTGCTGACTTGCAACACCCGAAAAAAGCTGAGAGTTAAAAAACGAGTAAATCCAAAAACGGTAGTTTGAAGACGTATTCAATTACTATTATGATTATTACCATGTATAAACATCTAATTATAACACCCAATAAAGATATTTCTCGAGGGAATTCCGGGTCAGAACATGTTCCAGTATTTCATGCTTGTCGTGAGAGTCGATTTACATGGGGATCGGCGAACTATAACCTGCGACCTGACTGATTGCGTGTCGTCGAACCCTAATGGTACATGTATTTGGCGTTCTTCGTGAAATTTCTGGTTTTCCCGTCCCAGACATTTTTAAGGGGACTTGGCCGAGCAGTTTTCTGGCTGTAGTTGATAACGGGTTCAATTCCCATCCTGCGTTCGGTGTATGAAGCCAAGTCACATAATGGTATCTGTCCTTGTTTTTGAAATCGATGTAACAATGCTAATAGCAGTTGTTCCCTGGTTACCTACATGTATGCTTTTCATAAGAGTCGACTAAAATAGGCTGATAACAGTCGCTGAAACACTGCAAACTTAAGATACGTAAAACAACTGTGACACAGTCATCAAATACATCACTTTCACTTTTAGCCGCCAACAAACATGGGTGCATACTGTGTTTTGCGCAGTAGTTTATATCAAATATGCATCCTGTGAAGTGCATGTTCCCGCCATGAGTGACTGTTTATTTGAATATTTCTATTTTTATGTCTTCTTTAATCGTCATGACACACACACACACACACACACACTAACACACTAACACACACACTAACACACACAAATACACACACACACACTAACACACACACACACACTAACACACACACTAACACACTAACACACACACTAACACACACACCACACACACACACACACACTAACACACACACACACACACTAACACACACACACACACACAGGCCCCTTGTATAGATGTACATGCAAATAATCATAATCAACGCAACACGTGTCTCTAAAACGTTGTTACCAGTTACCAGCTTGTGAAACAGAGAAACAGAGTTGACTGGTGGGATATATGGGGAGGAGCAGGTTTCACTTTCAGCTGAGACTGTACATACACGAGCAAATATTTCCACCAATTATAGCATATGAGCATAGATAAGATCACGCACGTCATAATGTACACGTTATGTAACCTATATCAATTATTTGTTGACGAAAGTGCATGTCCTGTTCTGTGTACACTGTCAATTGTTGTTCATTGTAGATATAGTATCAGGATTAAAGATAAATATCTAATATTTCGCTGCTATAATGTATATCTGTATTGTCATTGTTTAATACTGGCTTGCATTATATAATTATCACTCAAAAAATCGCGTAAAGAATCTGATACGGTCCAAGTTTGTATGACGCTTAGATGGAATAATGGCAACTTAAGGTCCAAAACACTACTGTGATACCCGTATGAACTAAATGGCCATCACACATGTATACTTTCTTCTGCCTGCAAACCGTGAATATCCTGGTTAGGATAGGTATTCAGCAACCCATGCTTGCCCTAAAAGGCGACCATGCTCGTCGTAAGAGGCGACTAACGGGATCGGGTGGTCAGGCTCGCTGACTTGATTGATGCATGTCATCGTATCCCAATTGCGTGGATCAATGTTCATGATATCAATCACTGGATTGTCTGGTCCAGACTCGATTATTCACAGACCGCCGCCATATAGCTGGAATATTGCTGAGTGCGGCGTTAAACAACAAACAAATAAACATATAATAAACAACAAACCAACCAACCAACTTTTGCCTGTTATATTAGTCAATCCTAAAATTCGCTTGAGTAGCAGTGATACTTAAGACATCAGAGATAATTATAAGAACGTTTAACACTCAGAGGTGCATACATGTAGGTGTTATAAATATGTACATAATATTCATTCACACAAACATGTATGGACGGTATATACACACATATATAAACCACGGTTTTAGGGAGGTCGCAGATCTAACTAGTAGAACGTGTTGGGTGAAAGTGGTTTTAAGGAAATCGCAGATATAACTATAACTAGTATTTGGCATTTAAGTCCTCGCCACTTGAAATTGAAGCAAGAAATATCACAATTGTGACTTAACGAAGATAGCTGCATGTGTTCCAATACTTATAAAGTGATACCATGTCCTTCCGGCGAAATCCTACATTACTTACAGTAGTTACACAAATTGCAAATGGCGCTTTTAAAAAAAATCCACGTGGTTTCAATCCAGGTAAGGGTCGACAGTCAGGTGACTTCGAACGGCTATATTTAGCAGTGTTTTGTTTTCGATTTATTAGAATATTATGAAAAATACGTGTGTACATGAAACATCTTGAGACACTCAATGTAGAAGTACATGAGACAACTTTGTGTACAAGCAATTACCTTTTGTAAAATTAATTGAGGCCACGTACTCTTACATTCGCCAACATAGCCTTTTGTATCGCCGACTCACACATGTTTCATTGTGTTGACATGCTATTCTAGATATGTGCCTCTATTTAGTTGACAGATGCCGCCATCTACAGCATGTTACCGCCACATCCACAAACATCGAGTATGACATCGATCATGAAACCGCCATGTGTCAAAAATCAACATCCCGACAACCCCGAACTCTATTGATGTAGACTGTAGCTGTCACTACACAGTCGAGTAAAGACATTCAATAAGTAGGATAAAAATTCTGTAATGTTTTCATCAGTGTGAAAATAATAATAATCACATATTCTTGTACAGTAGATAAGTACATAGTGATCTCAAGATGTTATTAATGCAATATAGAAAGTTTTTTGATATAATTACAAATGTTATATGTGGGATACTTTCTCAGTAAAGTACAAATTTTAGTACTCTTTCCGGGATTCGAATTGGGACGGTGGGGTAGCCTACTGGTTAAAGCGTTCGCTCGTCACGCCGAAGACCCGGGTTCGATTCCCGACATTGGTGCATTGTGTGAAGCCCATTTCTGGCGTCCCCCGCCGCGATGTTGCTAGAATAATACTAAAAGAGGCGTAAAACCATACTCACTCACTCCGGGATTCGAAACCACACTCTCAGCACACAAAGCAAACGATCTAATCCGTCCAGCAGCCGAGACTTCCACGAAAATGGAAGTCCTGACAACTAGTAGTCTAGATCACGTATTTTGTGTACCCCTCTGACAAGCGTAAATTGGTACGGCTTCTTAATATTGTTTTACGTGATTGAATCACTTTCATCATCACATACCAAAAACACAGTTCGTACAGTGTATTTTCGAGAAAATGGGGAATTTCATCCCCGATTAACAACGCTGAAACATAAATTTTATGCCCAGCGGTAACGGGAGGCAAAAACAAGCACGTATGTACAAGGGACACGACTCTGGTGAAAGCGGTCGCAGGAAGAGGGATTGAAAACCTTTATATTACAAGATATGTTTGATCCTTTCTGTAATCATTTTAATTCAAAACAAGTGGAGTCATTGGGGCCCAGTAGGGGAGTTAGCTGAGCCTAGAGGGAGTGTTTTGAGCCTGGCTAGGGGAGTCATGTGAGCCTAGGCCCATATGACTCTTGAGTCATTTCACCCTTGGCCCATATGACTCTAGAGTCAAATTTAGTTGGTGTCTTTGGAGCCTACTACACCGGGTCACCGAGAGGGGTTTGTTTTGATAAATATGGCAATTCCCGGTTTCAACTCCAGCATGAAAGCAATCAGTATCACAATTAGTACAGATAAATGTTCGTGCTGGGAATCGGCGATGATATGACAATTTTATATGAAACCTTTAGAAGACCAATCATAACTGATTAATTGGTTTGGTTGATTGCGTGTCATCGTATCCCTTATGTTTGAGACGTTTTCTTCAGTGAGCAATCACTGGTTTATGTGGTTCAGATTGTTTACAGGGTATGGTCACATACCTTGAACAGTGCTGACTGCAGCGTTAAACAACTAAGAAACAATGATCAAGAACTTTTCCTTAGCCCAGGTTTTCTGATTAATGTAACCGAAGATACCATCTGGGGACAATGTGTAAAGAAAATGAAATCCCTCACCACAATGCTGCTGAAATATTGCTGATATCCACTCATTTAGTCACCCTTTCTAATTACACTTATTGACTTCACTAAGCTGGCATTTACATGGTGTTATGTTAACGTGTGCATCAACTGCTTTTGCTGTGAAACCCCGTTAATCAGGGCGGTATTGTAACTTGGACTGCAAGAATAAACGATTACAGATAGCGGTTCCATTTGTAGTTACTAAATATGTTAGTAATATCCCTTTACCTAGGTATAGACGTATCCCTTTACCTTGGTACAAATGTATAGACGTCAATAGCTGAAAACGCCGAGAAGACGGTATTCCGGACTGACGGTGTCCGGACTTTGGTGCTAAGATGAACCGAAACGCAAATATGAGACAGGGGTCGCATGAGGTGCTGATATCGTCACTGGCTGTTTTCGAAAATATCACTGCATATTGTGTAAAAACAATCTCTATGTGTTCGTTGGGTTTGTTTGTTTGACGCGGTTTAATGCCGCACTATAAGCTATCAATATTTTAACCGCATGGCAGCATAATGTAAATATTCGAATCTTGACCATACAACCAGTGGTTAATAGCATGAGTAACATCCCACGTCGTTGGGGTACGATGAGACACAAATCAACCAAGAACCCGTGAAGTGACATGTGTTATTACGTCCTTTGCTGTGAATGTCATTATACCCACAAAGAAGACAGAATTGACTTATTGATCAAATCCACTACATACAAATCATGGTAGGTATAATTGGATCAATAGTCAGATATGTAATTACATTGATACTACACCTCCTAAATGACACTTTAACATACAGTGAGGAGCAAAAGAAACTATACACCTCATCTGATTTTATCATACATTTGATTTTCAATTGAAACTATCTTAAGTTATCGATATTATATATAAACTCTTCAGGCGCTTAGTCAGCACTCACAGAAATTACATTTTCGACATGGTTTTATTTTTAGATGTAGAAATTGACTGAAAATGGTTAATTTAAAAAAAAAAGGTTTGCATAATAAACAACCGATTGTTCTAAATATTAATCAAAGTTTAATCCAACTGAGGTGGTTCTGATCCCCATCTCATCCCAGATATGTTCTATTGTGTGAGGTGTGAGGAAACAGCCGGCAATGGCAGTACAGCAATGTTATACTGCCTCAAAACGTCTGTGCAACATGTGGGCGGACATTCTCCTTCTGCAACGTGACGTTGAATCCCTCCATTTGCACAAAGGGTACAACATGATCTCGAACGATGTCGTCCCGGTAGCGTACGCCACTCAAAATGCCAATAACAACACCAATCAGAGTTGTCCAGATAAAACCTGGATCCCTTTGTGAACAGTATACTGTCCTAGCCTTGTCTCCTGAACCTCAAATGTTGTCTACACAAAGCTAGGCGTGCCTGACGGTGTCGTGGATGAAAAATTGACGTATCGCCGGACGTCGGGGCTGGTTGCGTACGATTCTGCCTCTCATTGGGTCTCAACCCAGCACTTGACCGAGCTGTTTATGTGGCAGTTGTTATCGATTCCGTAGATGCACCAACGGAATATGGTTGTCTTGTTGACGTCACACACGTGGACGAACAGTAAAATGTCAGGAAACTTCGTTGTTTTGCCATTCCTGTTTGCAGCATACCCAAGGCGCGTATACGTAGACGTTCAGTTTCAGCAAGCCTCGGCATTTTGGAAGCGTTTTTGCTAAGCAATCATCGTGTGCTGTTCATATTTTTTTAAAAACACACGTGTGTGAGTATCATGCACCCATCAAACACGCAAGCATCCAAATTGTGTGCCGTGCATGTTCAACTGTGAATCACGACCTTAGCTTGAGATGTCTTCATGAATATGTATTGAAAGATATTTTTATTGAACTTTATATGAAGCACATTTATTGTGTTCCGTTAGGATAAAAGGGATTCAGAATCTAGCACATTATTGTTTCAAAATTGTCAAATGAATATGGTTTACACAGATAGCGTTACACACTAATTTATCTTTAAAGCACATAGTACATATGCCTGTACATCAGTAGTGTACTTATTGAGTACTGTTTCCACAATGTCATTCTTCAATGTCAACGTCAATCTTTAATTCGTTGTTATACTTTGAATGTCTTTCAAAAGAAAACCAACACATTTCGTTTCAGCAGTTTCAGGAGTTTATATATTCAAACACATAAACAAACATATTTACATGAAAAAACAACGTAAAAAGGTAAGTATCTGCCATAGAACATCACATTATTTCCTATTCTGTAGCTTGTGGAAGTACATAACTTCTCTTCGTTATAAATGTACAAGTTGCGTCACACGTGTACCAGAATTGGCATGTGCACAGTGCAGTAGAGAGTGGCTCAAGCATATCCTTGCGGGATTCCACCGAAAGAAATAAACTGTCCCCGAAATTTCTTGAAAAAATTGTTATGCTTGAAACAGTTAAAAGAAAGAAATTGCCTGCCACTTAAATTACATTGTTGCTTGAAACCGTTAAAATACAGGCTGAAGAAATATTCTATCGCGATAGAATAATCCTAGGACACCCCCCCCCCCCCCCCCCCCCCTCCGAATATCCCGAATATCAAGTGGTCGGTCCCTAATTATCCCCTATAATGAACTTATCAGATTGTTGTACAGCATTGATGTTATGATGAACACATAGATGCATCATGAACGTTTAAATCAAAGCATGAATGAATGGGTTTTGTCTCATTTCACAAAACCCCCACCTTAAAAGGAACGAAAGTTCTATTTACGAAAACAGAACAATAAGGTGGTCTACGTACGTTAGTTCAGAAGCTTTCAATTTTAAAGTATCAACACTTAAACACTGTGCACAATCTGTACCAATAACTGTCCTCAGTGGGCTCGCTAAAATAAACATCTCACTGGTGATTCAATGCATTAACGTTGAATTTGATCAAATATGGTCTAACATGAATTCTGTTGGTTCTGACAGATCGAGTTTTCTATATTGTGATATAAGCCATGTTTAAGCATTGACACTTTTAGTGACAAACAAAGTACATATTGTACAACTAGTATTATTACCTTTCTACATATAATAAGAGCGATCGGTGGCAAAAAATATCTTCAAAACCTACCAAACACCATCTAAACAATAAAGATGCATCTACTCCATTCAAATGAATTCCAAACAGTCCTCTCTGATTGTTAAGTACTGGTTTATTATGTACATATGTTTTTACAATTCATGTTTTTTCCCACAACATAATATTAAACGTCTGTTTGCAGAACTACTTTGTTGGTTCTGTAATTCTCAAATATTAGGTGACACGGGTCATTTTTACTTTCGCGAGTTCGAAATACAATGAACTGGAACGCACTTGCTTCTCAGAAATAATTATAATCATGACACACATTAAGGAATGAAATGATCATAGGAACGTTTGCCTTCAGGACCAATACAGCTTGTCGTTATTCATGGCGTAATAGTCAATGGACCTCTTCGCTCGGAAGCTTCGTATAGCCATCCTTTGTAAGAAGTGGCCTGCCTTTCCTTCGGACGCGCTTGAGTACAGCACAGAGAAGAACCACAACGCCAAGCATAGCGACAAGCGTTCCAGTGATGATGCCAATTAACAATCTTGTGTTTTCGTCTGTTGTCTGAATGATAAAGAAAGGCTGCGGAAGAAAAACAAAAAAAAAGTTTTTTTAATGTTAACACTGAAGTAGTCATTTCAACAGTCATTCCGAAAACATAAACTCGGTAGATTCCAGCCAGCAAAGACAACTTAGTTTGCCAGTAAACACTTCTTCTGTCACGTTTTTGCAATCTTGCAGTTGGTGAATTCTCCAATTACGCTAGGCTTCAAACAGTTTATCGGTCATGGTTCCAGAGTGTGGAGAATAGTCCCCCAAAAGATATTTGCTGAAAGGCGCCACAATGCACAGTGCAATGTGGCAGAATCCGATATTTGCGGGTTCGAATCCCAGATGCGCCCTTACATCCATGTTCGTGAGTCAAACCATTCTGTTAAATGTCTTAACCCGTCATCACTACGGGATGTCCATCAACGTCAAACTGTCTAACGCAACACAAACAAATTATGCCCAGTTCTATTTTACAAAGGTGTATATAAGGAATGGTTGCTCTCTACGTATTATTATTTTCCCCAATAAGTGGTACCACATTCAAGAACAAAGTATCTTTGCAGAATATTATCAACAAGGGAGATATATAGTTCCATGGATATACATTATTATCTTCATTGAAGTTCATACCTTTTCAGTGTTGGTATCAGCATCATTTCCAGCCTGATTAAGTTCGCCAGATGGGCGTGTCAGTCCCGGTGGGATCTGTGATGGTGTAGCTAATGTCGTCATAGTCATCCCTGTTGTAGACGATGCCTCCTCTCTAGCTTCTAAGTCCCCGCAGACGCTTTCAAGCTTACACACTTGTTTGATGACAGGGGCATCATCCATGAACCATTGCCATGGGACGAAACTGGAGTAAATGATTTTTTAAATATGTTTATATTTCGATACAGTTCGAATGAATTTACTTATTTAAACAATACTCCATGGAGAATAATAAATTCTAAGTAAATTAACCAATATAACGAAAGTAGAAATGACGTTATATCTTTAAAAAATATCAATAGTTAGTGCCCGTTATAACTTTGTTTTATTCTGAATATGATAACACTGATCGACTAATATGATACATTGTATGATACACTAAACTTTCTTTATCCTGAATATGTATCACAGGCTAACCTCTCTATACCTTGAACATGATAACGTATGGTCGACTAATATGACTCATTTTTAGCATAAGCAGAGTAATTCTAACAAGATAGTTGAATAATCGTACTTCAACGGTGAGTTAACAATTGATTTGATAGATCATTAATATTAAACTTAAACACTTACTTGTGAAACAGTTGCTTATGGTGAGGGCATTTCTCCATGGTGCACATAAACTTCCTTGTCATCTGCAATAGGAAATAGTTATCACGGAGCTAGAAATGTCGAAAAAGATGTTTGCAGAAAAAAACAGGAAACACGGTGTTGTGTTTTGCAAATGTGATGAGACGATTCTGGTAAGTAAGTAAAACGGTTATCATTTTTGAAAACGAGATGAGTTGCTACGTGTACGAAAATATAAAAAAACGCGTGGAAAGTTTTAATATTGTTTTTTACAGAATATAATTGAAATATCTAAATTTTCTTGACAACACAAGCTACTGGTTAATATTTTAAAAAAATGTTGAACATTTACAAATAAAACGACATATAGTTTACGGAATAAAGTATCGTTTTGAAGAGACATTTATAGTATCGGCTGAGGTCCATCAGTATATTTACTCACACCAACATAGGCCCCGAGGCAAAATTCATCTCCTTGAAGAATCTGAAAATAATGAAAGTATAAATTGTTGCGCTCTATTTCTTTGCCTCTGATAATGACACATACAGTGTTTTGCCTATACTAATGACACATGGTACAAACAATGTTTTGCAAGTGATAAAGACACATGATACATACAGTGCTTTGCCTATACTAATGACACATGATACATACAGTGCTTTGCCTATACTAATGACACATGATACATACAGTGCAGTTTCACAGATTCAATGGATCCGGTCACCTACACACACCAAAAGCGTCACATATGCTGAACCCACGAGCACCAAGTGACGTGTGTATGAAGTTTATATAATTAGAAACGCTCTCAAGACGAGGGCTACACACAAATCCACTGTGCATACATAGTAAATGCATTGGCAGATTAAACCACTTTGCACCAGGACCATACAAAATGGGGGTTCTGTTTACATATTTTTACATATGTAAGTTTATAGATAGATAGATAGATAGATAGATAGATAGATAGATAGATAGATAGATAGACAGAGGACCAATTACACCCAATTAGTTACCACATTTCAAAGAACAACATCCTACAACGAAGGATTCGCAGGTTTCGGTGATAAAGACGACGAAACAGTTTATTTCTTTACCCAATGTATGCTGATATAAGAGTGAGTGAGTGAGTATGGTTTTACGACGCATTTAGCAATATTCGAGCAATATCACGGCGGAGGACACCGAAAAATGGGCTTCTTACATTGTACCCATGTGGGGAATCGAATCCAGGTCTTCGGCGTGACGAGCCAACGCTTAAACCACTAGGCTACCCCACCACCTTGTTGATATAAGAACATCGGTTCTCAAAGAATACGTTTTCTCGATCCTCTTATTCGCAATTTCTACTTTTTCTTATGACAACTGCAGTGGTGTAATTATATGTAATATTTATGTCCATCGTTCATGACGAACGAACGCTTTAACCACCAGGCTACCCGACCACCCCCTCTACATGTAAGTTTCACGGTAAGATGGACATCCATGGTTATACTCCAGGGATATGTCCTCTTCATTATCATGAAAATTCGTTGATTAACCCTACTCTGTCCCAGAATCACCACGCGTACAAGTGATGCATTTCGGAAACATTCAGTCATAATGGAGTGAACATAGTGTCATTAAAATCGATATTGATAGAGAGAATCAAGATTTGAATGGCGAAAATGGCGGTTCTGTAGAAATTATGTTGATGCTGAAATATATAGTTCAAAGTTAACCAACCTTCTTGGAAGTCTGACGGAGTTCATCGGCTAGGGTGACGTGGAGTGTTGCCAGGGTGTGGCCAAAACACTCCGGGGTCAGCTCAGGGACAGCGTACATCTCACACACCAGGGACAGGGCATTATCCAGCGTAGTCAGGCGCTAAAACACAGGCATTTATATATATTACATATATAATCAGTATACATTTAGAGTCGGCACATGACTAAGACGCGTCATTTGTCTGAGAGTTTTGTAGAATCCGTTGATCCTTGAGTCGAATAGTTTGTAGTCACCAAACCCAAAGAGGCAGTGTTGAATCTAGGCTTTGCTCAAAGTGGATTTTGTAACCGGTCAACTTCTAAAATGTAGGTAACATTTCACTTCGGTAATAGTGTTGTACGTTAGGTGTGGATCTTTCCTCCAACTTCATGACACCCCGCCCCCTCCACCAAATCTCCAATACACGCGCGCTGTTAAATACTGAAATACTGTTCAAAGCATCTTTAAAACCCGACCTACTCATTGTATAACATTTAAACCCCAGTTGTATGGACACCCCTTTAAAGACTAAGCGATCGGGTTTACGCATTGTAATCGTTCCATACCCATGCACGACATGTTGTGATCTGGGCATTCTATTTAACACGCAACGAGCAAAAAATCCATATTTTTTGTTCGCCATCCCATATTTAAAAGATAACACTATTCACGGAAAATGTGAAAGTAATTAAATTCGTCAGTCTCTCCTTGACAGTAAATCATTGTCCATGCGTAGAAAAAACCCAACATTTCTTAGAGAATGGACCGCGTTCACATTTCATTTTTAAAAATTAGAAATATATATAGCTTCAACATACGCCTGAAACTAAACGATGAAATGGCGATTGTTGCTATGTACAGGCGTCCGCCATTTCGGAAGCTCTCTGCGTTCTCGAGTCTCGCGGGAGACCACGAGATTTGGGACAGCAGACGCTATCTTCTGAAAGATATTAATTGGTCTCGCCCTTTGTGATCACCGCATGGTTGATTTGATAAATGGGTATTCGGAAAAAGTAGCGCAGTGGCTTGTATATTAAACAGAAAAAAACATTGCTTTTAAGTACGGAGTGTGACTCGAGGGTAACAAAAAGTGCCCATTTAATCTTCATTTTATTAACGTCTTTGTTAAGTCCTGGAATGCCTTCTTATCCGAATGGGTGGGCACTATTTAAGTAGAAAGTTGAATTTCTTTTAGCGCTTATTTCTTAATATACAGCCGCCTCCGTGGAACGTCCGCCCGGAGAGCGGGAGGTCCGGAGTTCGATCCCCGGCCGCGTCATACCAAAAGACGTTAAAAGATGGTACTTGTTGTTACCCTGTCTGGCGCTCGGCATTAAGGGGCTAAAACAAGGACTGGTCGGCTCGGAGTCAGTATTCATGTTAAACTGCGGCATGGTATCTCTGTGAGCTAGCACTATAAATTGGCATCAGTCCGGACTTGTACAAGCAGCAACAAACACACACACACACATGCATGCTCACATGCACGTCGCTATATAAGTGCAATAATCTTGGACGCGACGCTAAACCCAATTTCACCTCACTTCTTAATATACATGAACGTTAAAGGGAGATTCTGTCCTTGAGCATGGTGCCACTGCCAGTCTAGGCCTACACGTTGTACGGAAACTGAGGCAGTGACTTTGTGTTATTTGGGTAATTACTGCCTATATACGAAAATATACATTATACAGTTTCATAACACATGACTTGATTGATTGTGTTTCTAGGTTTGTCAGCACCATACCCGTGCTCGTGGGTTTCACTGAAGTGGTAAACGTCTGAGACCTGCATCACTTCGGGCTTTCCTCCCACATTAAGCTGACACGCCGTAATTTAACTAGAATACTGTTAAAAGCGGCGTTAAACCCAACTCACTCACCAGTGTCTCAGGGCTGTGTTAAAAGGTCGCCATTAAATGTTAGATTGCAATCATCAAAACATTTGAAATGCCAGAGGAAAATATAAAGGAAAATATGTAATGAAAATGTGTTCAGCCTCCATTATTTGTAATTTGTATTATAAGACGGATCTCAGCCCAAGCCTTCTTATGAATAAGCCTATGTTCTGTTCTTGTGTTCCGTGATAAGCGTTGTAGCTGGGCCCCGACGTATAGAACCTATGAGAGATTTGTCACAGATGGCATACGTGAGTAACGCACTCGTGACAGTGGCGTCGCCATCAATACACTCCTTTTCATACTGCCTTCGATCCAGCTAACATAAATATTACAGGTAAACACAGCCAGGCTGTGACAAGAATATCCATACATGCATATGAAAGGTATTGTGGTGCTGACATTACTATGAACAACAAAAATTGACATTCTTTTTAAGTTTCCAAGTTGTGTATATTTAATCGAATTATCATGACGAAATTGATACACGTGTGATGTATGATTGCTCAATGCCATGGTATACAGAAGCACATGTAAAATAATTCCGTATCTCATAATACTAAAACAAAATGAATTAAACGTCCGTATTATTTGTTTCCTCATTGGAAGGAAAATTGATTCATCCAAACAGGTCAGTTGTGATCTTCAAATGTAATGTGACACATTAGGTTCCTAAAACGCGCAACTCTAAAGACGGTCGATATTCAGAAATCCATTTCCAATTTTCATCTGAACGTTGTCATATACTTTTTACCACCCTGTATCCCGTTTTGCCCAGTGGAATCTGAAATCATTCTCGTCAGATAATATAGACTGTTTATTGTCTGGCGTTGACGATGACTATTATATTAGTGACTTTTGTGAACCATAGAAATTGTCTTTACATAATAAGGGTTATTGAATCTAACTTAAAAGGGCGGCAATTTAGACCCTCGAGCTCCCTCTGTTAATACCTACTGAACTTACCGTCATATCGGGACAACCATTTCTCATGTACAGTATTTGCTCAATACATTTTCGGAGGCCCTTTTCACAGATTGGTCCATTGAACACTGTGCTCATACTGTCAGCAAATGCTTTAATATAATCACCAGACAGGCACCATTCTCCGGGCTTGCACATCTTCATCAGCTGATCAACGACATTGTACGAAAACAGCTTGGCCGCCATGGCATCTGACGTTGTGTTGTGATTCATATACTGCTTAAATCGTTCAGACATCTCGCAATACGTTGTCATATCGTTAGCCTTTAGACATTCGGGATTTCTTTGTGTTTGTGTTGAGATCGTCGTTGTTGATGTCGTATTCGAAAGCTCCACGGTGCTTGAGCTTAACGTTGCCAACGTCGACGAAAACGTCGTTGACAGTGTCGTTGCTGATGAAGAAGTGCTTCCTGGTGATGTGGTTGAAGAGTTGAAGGTCTCGTTAAGATTCATATCCGCCAATCCTTTCATGAGGGAACCAGTATTATTTCCTGAGCTGACGTTCCCACTTTTCTTGTCATTGCCACCACCAAAAAGAGAACTGAAAAAGGACTGCATCCATCCTGGAGTTCCGTCGCTCTTCCTCGCCACCCGTGCCCCTTGGACATTCGTACAGGTCAAGATGACCACCACAAGGATGAGAGATGCGACCAAAGCCCCTTTCATGGTGACTGTGGCTGTTCGTTAGAGGTTTGAGACACGCAGTATAAATTATCATTGATTGATACTAACGTGCAATGTGTGATCGACGTTTTCTATAGCCTGTTTCAACGTTGGACTATTGTGGAATTTAATACCAACGCAGATAAGCGAATGAATACAGGTTGGTGGTTCAGACACATTTATCATCCTATAAAAGAAGCACTGAATTTATTATGACGGTAAATCAATGAATTATAAAACGTCCCTGGACAGCGGCAACTCGATAACCACGTGCAGATATGACATGCACATGTATACTTTCATGCCAGGAAACTAATAATATTGCCACCTGATTTCAGACTTAATACTACATTTCACTTATCCCAAACTGACTAAACTATATGCATAAAATTAACAAAATAATGACACAACACGAATTGTTGTGAGAACAATTCATATTGAGTCATAACGGTGAATTTCGTTATAAAATTATGTGTGGTACTGTACATTAGTGAATCTCACCTCTTATGTACACTTGCAATTCGAGTGTACGTGTACAGGCCAATAGATTTAGAAATTAAAACAAGTATATACTTGCGCATGTACTTTTTAAGCGGGCGTACTCTACTCAGCGCTAATAAGCGGTGCTATTTGGTGTGTGGTTGGATTAAGGTGAGGATTCTCCTGTAAACCTGACTGACGACATTTTCTTTAGATATAAATCCTCTGATACATGAGAGGAGCGGGATGTCGCATTGATATTGAGTCGCATTTTTTGCTAGGGGGCCATCGGGCGCATATTTTTGGAGACGCATTAATTTCACGATTTACAGTGCTATAAGTACTTAATAGTATTCTATAAGTATATGGAGGAAGTTTTCAGCGCGGTGTCTTGTTATGAATTATACATATTCATAATCATTATGCATTTAATGATGAATTACTTAGTTTAAATAAATTTTTGGGTTTAATGTAAATGTTTAGTCTCGATCATGCTATTTCCTTCAGATGGAGGTCAGTATGAAAATACACTATCAACTTATTCGGGCTTGTTTGTTACATAACATGTGATATCATCCCTGCCACTGAAATGTATCAGCCTTTTGACGTTTTTTTTGTTTAAATAAAGATTAAAGTGTTTGTGTGTGTGTGTGATTGTGTGTGATTGTGTGTGTGTGTGTGTGTGTGTGTGTGTGTGTGTGGTTGTTTAACACCGCACTCAGCAATATATCAGCTAAATGACGGCGGCCTGTAAATAATCGAGACTTGACAAACAAGTGAGTGAGTGTGTGAGTGAGTGAGGGAGTGAGTGGGTGGGTTTGTGAGTGAGTGAGTTTAACGTCGAATCGGCATTATTGTAGGCATAAAGCGACGAGACTAAGATGATATATATAAATATATATACACACACGACGATATATATATACGATTATATATATATATATATACAATTCAGTCATGAATACAAAGTTATATTAAGAACAAACTTCTAAAATAATTGTTATCATAACAATATTCTTTACAACTGTTTAAATCACGGGCTATAAGACACAAGAAACAACATTGAGCCATAACGCTGGGGATCATTGGGACCCTAGCAGGATATACGTCATCACGGAATTGTATGAATGCTGGCTGTTGGATTAGCCATAAACCGATTGAAGTACAAAATATATATCATGATGGTTGGTTAATCTTGTCAAATGATATGTGTTTCTCATGCGATTAATTAAGGGGCTATTCTTTTCAAAACTGCACACACTTTACCTTTTCGCGAACACTGGTGTCAATCACCGATTTACAGTGATCTTATCAATGACATAAAATATTCGTTACTTTTTGGCATTTCACTCCCCATGGAATCTATTTCGGCAGATAGTCACGACTGATTATTCTCTGGCGTTGTCGGTTTATATTTTCACCAAGTAAATCTAACTGTATAAGTCTACATTCCGCACCTCTATTACATATATATCATTTATATATTTAAGCCACGTCGTTAGCTCTAGGACCGCCTCCGTGGTCTAGCGGTAGAGCGTCCGCCCGGAGAGCGAAAAGTCCGGGGTTCGATCCCCAGCCGAGTCATACCAAAAGACGTTAAAAGATGGTACTTGTTGTTACCCTGTCTGGCGCTCGGCATTAAGGGGCTTAAACAAGGACTGGTCGGCTCGAAGTCAGTATACTGTGTCTGAGTGGGGTATTCATGTTAAACTGCGGCATGGTATCTCAATGTGCTTGCACTATAAATCGGCATCAGTCCGGACTAGTACAAGCAGTCACACACACACACACACACACATTCACGTGCATGCACGTCACTATATAAGGGCAATAATCTGTGACGCGACGTTAAACCCAATTTCAGCTCACCGTTAGCTCTAGAATCGTTTTAAGGTGTTTAAATGGTTGTTTCTGTTGAAAAAACTGAACAGTAAATTTAATAAGTAGGACTTGGTTTCTAAAGAACGAAATGCCCTTTTAAAGCCCCGGTATCTTTTAAAGTCGTCTGATAAAGACTGTCTGGTCCAGACTCGATTATTTACAGACCACCGTCATATAGCTGGAATATTGCTGAGTTCGGCGTTAAACAACAACAACAACTCTAAATTAAAAATTGAGCAAAACGTTTGGAAACTGTTATAAATGGTATCAGATGGGATCATATGAATCGGAACGAAACTGTGTTCATTTCATTAGCTGCAGTGGGCACGGGTGGCCCAGTCGTCTAAGGCGCCGCGATTCGCTGTGCAGAGTTGCGTCCCTTGGGCACGCCAGAAACCTATGATTGTGGGTTCCAATCCCGGTTCGCCCCAATTATGTTTCTAGGTTTGTCAGCACCATACCCGTGCTCGTGGGTTTCACCGAAGTGGTAAACGTCTGAGACCTGCATCACTTCGGGCTTTCCTCCCACATTAAGCTGACACGCCGCGATATGACTGGAATGCTGTTAAAAGCGGCGTTAAACCCAACTCACTCACTTATTAGCAGCATGTTTGGGACATATGTCCACCCTAAATGTAGAGGTAAGGACAGAATGTGCCCCAAATTATTTCAGAGGTGTCCATGACACGTTTGTTACAACCCTTAATGTAACAATTACATGTAAAAATGTAATAAATACATTGAGGGTTGCTGTTTAACCCTTCTTACAACCCTTAATGTAAAAATTAATCTCAATGTAAAATCGTATTGGATTGTGAATAGATTTCGCATGACGGATGACACACGCTATACGGATGACAATACGTCACATAAGCCTTTCGGCCATCTTACATGTATGGGAAAACATTAAGCTAACTAGAACTGTCCTATGGGGAATTAAACACCTCCCGCAGACGTATGATGATGTTAACATTAGTATCCAAATGTACCTTTGCAATCGCATTAGAAGACAAATCGCAACTGCTGTTTTTCATCGGAAGATAGGTATAGTATTTAAAGGAGCATTCGGAGGCGTTAATTTCACTGACACGGTAGCGTTCGGAGTCCAATAACATGTCAAAATACAAAACTTGAACGAAATCGGACAATTTCTAAATTTCGACTAATCAGAGGCCTCCGTTCCGTTGCCATGGTAACATAATGGCAATGGAAAATGAAGGCATATCGTACAGTATCCGTAGTTACACCTACGTACACATCTGAAAGAAATCGATGTAGTGGTTTAGTCGTCCAGACAAGTTAAAAATGGCGACGTAATAAAGGGCAATAACTCACCGAAATAAAAAAAATAATAGCAATGTGCGCATTCCCAACTACATGTTGAATTGGTCACGTGTACAAATGGTAATGTACGACATGTACGATATTAACCCTCAATCAATACAAACCGTTATAAATAAAAGGTGAAATGTATGTTCTAAAACATTCCCTTATCAAATGTTGAAACACACCATATATGCCACATGTGTCGAGCGCAGATCGGTATGTCTTCATCGGTTGCAACATCTGTGGGTCATTGATCTCCCTGTCTTAGTAAGATGATATAATTTTACACCTTCAATAACGACATCGATGATAATGTACACTACGCGTTATGAATCCATGATTGAGGACACAGTTTTGTCGACACTAGCAGTGACTGTTATTTCATAAAACCATCTGAAGTTTAGAATTTATTCTCACAGCTAATGTCACCACATTCCCTAGTGTTTTGTACGTTACATATATTACAGTAAACTACGGTTATAACGAACACGCTTATAACGAACTGACGGATATAACGAACTTACTTTTTGGTCCCGACTACTTGCTGTAGTCATGCTGTATATGTACTTATAACGAACTACGGTTATAACAAACTGAAGTTAGTAGTCCCTTTGAGTTCGGTATAACCGTAGTTTACTGTACATGTGTTTGTGACGGGTGCAGACGGTAGGGCAGGATACGCTCACCTTTTCGCGAGCACCTGGTATCGTCACTATGTGATAGTATTTCATAAACACATTCTCATCGTACAGTCGACTGTGCTTTCTGCAGAGATTTCTATTGGATATGCAAAGGGTTTTATCGCTTTATGTAGTTGATCCCGTTCGGGATTGCGAATTTAAATTGCATCTAAGACCGGAAATCAGTTTGGATGCGCGCGACCTATTCTTGTCCGGAATCTGGAGTCTAAACTAAATGATAGAGAAACTGGGATCACATATATTTATTGATAACTGTAAATGTATAATACAATAAACTACGATTACAACGACCTCAAAGGGACCACTAATTTTAGTTCGCAATTACCGTAGTTCGTTATAAACCAGGTGTTCGCGACATACTTTATGTTATTGAACACGTGACTGCGTATTGATCTTTCGTCAGTGTACACAGGTTGCCAATGGTCACGGTAGGCTGGCTTCATGATGTATTGATACTTCTTTAGGTAAACTTAATATATTTATGTACCTTTCTTACAGCCTAACACAGTATCAGGGAATGGCAATAAGCCTACAGTACATAATAACTTGTTTATAGAACATAAAAATATTTCTTGGCAAAATGTCGACCTTGAAATGTTGTCTTTTTAAAAGTTGAAATTGATCAAATCTTTTAATTAAAGTCTTTGGGATTTCCAGATTCGCTTTGAT